ACCGTCGTTATCTGGATCTTCCGGGTAATCAAGGGTGGCTGATACTTTGAGGACCACCCGGGTCTGGTTACCCAGACATTTAACGTCTTATCCTCGGATCTTAGACATGCAGAAGACAATTTTTGTGTTTGTGTTTTACGAATGTTTAAGGTGAAGTACATATTTAATATACAGTTAACGAATTTAGACTATATAGTTCTACTCTATATGTCTATTCTAACCCTTATATGGATTTATCATGTGTTTATACTGAACTAAACTGGTTTGTATTCCTTCAATTCTTACTTCGGGGCCTTATTCAAGGACCCACCTTTTTCCTATATATAGTTTTCTATATTGTTATTAGTTTCTTGTTCTCTTATCCACTTTCTGCAGTAACTTTCTTTTCCTCCCAATTTAGTTCATTCTGGCAGTTTTTCACTCTTTTTGCTCCCAAATTGGTATACATAGCCTTATATTTGATTTAATACTACTCTGATTTGGATACATGTTGTGCTGCCGTTATTATATTCATATCTCAAGCCAACTTTTGGGGTGTTGCTGTAACATGATTCATATCTCAAGCCACAACCTTTCCAAACAGGCATGGCCAGATTTATTGGAATTTCTGGTTGTTATTTTGCAGTGTACTACTTGCCTTTTATGATGCTATCAAAGTTGGTATTGTCTGTAGCATGAACGCCAAAGGCTTTCCAGTGTATTCATTTTTATATGTGGGTGTACTACTAACGATCATTTTCACTTCTAGCTTGGTGTTGCAAGGAGACCTAGAACCTTGACTAACAATGCACTGGCATGGCACTTATTATTGAAGTTAGTAATGTACAATGCAATACCTAACGCAACTTCTAACCTTATATAGGAGCCAGAGATATTTCCAGAATTTAATTAGACCAATTTTTTTTTACAGATCTTTACTATATCTACCGCTTCGCTCATCACTCCCAGTTTGGACATTAGTATTACCTTTCCAAACAAGATCCCAGACCCCTGGGTTGTTGGTGCTTCCATGCAGATCTGTCACTATATCTACCGCTTCACTCGTTACTTCCAGTTTTAGAACATTAGTATTACCCTCCCAAGCAAGATCACAGACTGCCTGGGTTGTTGGTGTTACCTAAGTGCCTCGAGGATTTACTCGCACAACCTATTTGTCCTAAAACCTTCTATGATACTGTTTGTCAAATATAACACCAACTCTCTATAGTTTGATCTCTACAGATTAACATGCGCAACCTATTGTTCAGACCTACTATGATACCACTTGCCAAATGTGATGCCAACTCTCTATAGTTAGATCTCCTTCTGGGAATTTTCTATCAAATACGTACTATACTTGGACTTCTATGGGGCTCCGTGTTCAATTTTGGCTCATCACCTGTAGGTTATAAAGTTTTTTCTGCCTCCAGCCTGACTCGAACTATAGATCTTGACCTAATTTCTGTAGGGTTTGGCAACTTAACAATTAAGCTATAGGCCCAAACCCTAAATTTTTAAATACAAAATTTTGTAATATGTTTTATTATTTGCTATATTACTATAATTTTTTATAGCGATTAAAAATGGATACAAAAGATATCTTATTGAAAAATTAATAAATTCCATTTTATGTCTCATATTTTTAACTACAGGTTAATAGACATCATTTAAAAATTTTCTTTAACAACACATTCTTAAAAGTTTCTTGCAACAAATTTTAAACTATTAGTACTATTAAAGAATAGAAACCTCAAAGAATGGTTGTTTACTACACGTAAACCAGAACAAGAGTATCAGTAATTTAGTCTATCAAAAATAAAC